AAATCTGTGAAACACATTGAGACGTTTAAGTTTAAGTTTAAGTAAGATAAAGAAATCCAAAGCCTCTTTTCCTTGCATAGTGTTTGTGCAAATACATTGGCACACAGAGGTTGGATGTATACAACCATTTAATTGATCCTTAGTCAAACCACAACTAAACTGTAACTTGACCATGTGACCCAGAAATCTTGTAGTTTCATGAAACTTACCAATTTTAGATCTGGCTGTAGAAAGCTATGGAAGTGAATATTTGCAATTTAAGAGAATTGGATAAGGAAAAGTAATTTATGGACATCAGACACCAGAAAAATAAAAGGTTGGTTGCCAGTAGTTACAATAGTGTAGAATTTAAAATATCCTGTAAATATGGCATCGCCCAAATATTTACAATTTACAAACAATGTTCTTATTCTATTGAGTCAAACTGGAAGTTAGAAAGAAGTCAGATCTCATGTGTTTTAGTGTCTCATCAAAATGAAATGCCTCAAAGCACCTTATGATAGTAATTAAGCAAAAATGACTGTTTTTGTAGGCAAATGCTTCAATACATTCATGAAGATAATTATTTCCTTTTACATACACTACTTAATTAAAAACTGTAAAGATGATGCTGATTTTCTTTAAATGTTCAATAGAATCATAGTATCATAGAATTGTACAGCACAGAAAGAGGCCATTCATCCCATCGTATCTGTCCTGGCTCTTGTAATAGAGTTATCCAAATCAATCCCACTCCCCCACTCTCTCCCCATAGCCCTGCAAACTTGTCTTCCCAAATAATTATCTATTTTTTTCTTAAAAGTTGTGACCTATCTTATTTGACTGTTATTATGGCCTTGCCATGGCAGTTATAATAACCCAGTACAAAAATCAGAATGTCAATCATGCTGAACAGCAGCAATAATTTACATATACATAGCATCTTTCAGGCCAGGAAGATGTCTCAAAGCACAAAACACGCAAATATCAGACAAAACCTTGGTGTTCGCTCCTCAAAGCAAATCACTAGCTCCTCTCAGAACAGTGTTGCTATGAATCTCTTTAAATTAGTTTTAAACACTTCCCACAAATTGATCTTCACTTGTCCTATTTATAACTTCTCTTGGCTCAGCTGAAAGTACACAAGCAGGTATTCCTATATTCTCACTGGGCCTTAATACAACTAGTTTCAATTGGCAGTACTCATAAGGACCTGAGATATTCCTCCTCAATAGGGAAAAGTACCGTCTCTTAGAAGAGATGAAAGGAATGCACAGTGAAAGAGAATGGAGTGAAGGTTGTGTTCATGGATTTCTGGAAGGCATCTGATAAGGTGCCTCATAGGATACCTGTTGCAAAAATTAAAGTGAACATGGCAGCATGGATAAAGAGATGAAAGACAGGAAGTAGAATAGTATTAAGGCAAATGTTTTACATTGGCATTGGGGATAGCCCAGGGATCTGTGCTAATGCCTCGATTATTTTCATGTAATCTGGATTTGGGGGCAAGATGTTGAAATTTAAAATAATACTGAATTAAGGGGCATGACAAACTGTGAGGCAGACTGTAGAAGATTATAAGAGGACATATATAAATTAGCATAATGGACCGATAGATGATTTCAATGCAGGAAAATGCAAAATAGTGTACTTTCAGAAGAAAAACAAAGAAAGGAAATACTGTATATCTTATTACATATAATAATATTATACTGTAATAGTATTAAATTGTCGGCCCTAGGTGCATAGATAATTAGGATTTAAGGAGTAGGAGTACAAGCAATCAAGACCATAAAAAATCAACAGGACGTCTACATTTTATACATAGGGCACTGAATACAGGAGCAAGGAGACAAATATAGTCAAATATGTGCAAGATTCAGTTAGGCTGCAATTGAAGTATTTCATCTAGTTTGTGGTGCTTCACTATAGAAAGGACATCATAGCCTTAGAAATGGCATGTGGAATGATTTACATAATCTCATTTCAAGTCCATCCTTTGTTATCACTAATCACTGTCAAACCATCACTAAAAGGGGTTTAGCAATTATGCTAAAATATCTTTTAAAACTGGAAGGTGACGTATACATTGAAAACAGATTGAATTTGTATGGCATTTCATAGCAGCAATGACCATGGTTAAATGTATTATTTTAAAAAAATAGAATTAACTCATCAAGAATTTCCTTTCAAAAGCAACGTATTTTGGTGCAGTATGTTGAACGCTTAGTTCGGGTATATTGTTGTATATTAGGGTTTGGTTGTTTTATTCCTGATTATGATTCTTATACAATCCTGTTGACCCACACAACATCACTCTGAAGTAGAAGCTTTTAATTTTGGAGATCCCACCAATTGGCATGATTTTTATTCTTGTTACTGGAAGAAGCCCTATACCACAAATTAGACCCCAATTGAGCATGACTTTGTCCACCTTTGCACCCCATTCCTCGGTTGGAACTGTGAAAACATCTGTGACTCCAGTAGAGCAAATCATAATCCTTGCATTTGATATAGTCCCTTATCACATCGTTGAGACGTCTCAAAGCGCAGCAGCCAATTGCACACAAACATTCGTGGATTGAAGTGACCAAATTTTTTTTAAAAGGGATTATTACCCACAAAAAGCGATCCGCTAATCGACTAACAATCAGGTTTCCACTTACTGCTATGTAAATAGAGGCAATGGAGTAAGAAAACTTGCCTAAGGTTTCGCTCTGCCCAGGAAGCGGACCCTGGTCCTCTAGCTTGCAAGGTGAGTACTCTAACTAATAAGCTATAGCAACGTTCAGCAAATCAAATCCAAACATACACTTTATAGCTGAGGATGAGACAATTCTATCAAATTTTATTTCAAAATGGAACATAAAAGGCATAATTTCATCCCAATCCTGAAGAATGATGATTCCTTTGAAGTTGTCGTATTTTAAATTTCACATCACCGGAGGGCATGCAGCTTCACATTATTATGCTGGCATGAAAAGAAACAAACAAAAGATGTTTTGTTTTGAACTTAATTCTAAATCCATCTTCTCTCCACTCCAAACGCCCCCATTCTCTCTGTACCGAGCGAGCAAGAAAGTCAATGACTTGATTGATTGGTTAGTTGATTGAATGGATTAAACATTTTAAAAAATACATTGCTTCTGGTCGAATATTCTTTACTCACAGTGGCAACTTATTCATTGCAAATCTGGGGTTTGAAAAATATAAGCCAACCCTCTCAACAGGGCATATTAAACCTTGTACCACATCACCCAACTTTGAAGACAGAATGTCAGTTTGGTCTTCCTAATACTCAGCGGATAAAATTGCAGTGAATGCAGCCGCTTTTGCTATGGCAGTTGTAATAATCCACTGTGATAAGTTTAATGCTCTTCTAAAGAAGAAGGTTGGTACAGTAAATGCTCCAAGCTTGTGTAGGAACTGACACCGTCCTATAATAAACCTGAAAAGGCAGCTTCCTGAAGCAATTCAGTTGCCATAATACGAAATAAAAGTGTCATGTGTAATTTCCTTTCTTTTTGTTACCGACAATGAAAGTGATAAAGGGGGTAAATTGCAGTATCATTTTTTTATAACATGTGCAAAAGCTATACATTTTTGAAAATACAGTTTATGAAAATAAAATCAGTCGTATAACTGGATCTGAATGACCAGTTCATGACTGGGTGCTGACCAAAAATATCTGCCTCCACTTCCCATTCAGACCTTCTGCTATGCTGAAATCTGATCAGGTATCTGCTTGTGTAAACCTTTGGCTTAAGTCAAACATGCCTGATATAGAGATAACTCAGGATTGCTTGAGATTTAATCAGTCTGTGGTACCATTGCACAAAGTGCAGTTGATGGATTCAGTATTAGAGATTCAAGTTGAATAACAATGATAGAGAATACATTTGATGTTGTAAGTTATATAAAGATTAAATAAAAGGTAATTCACTTCACTGCTACTTGTTGGGACACTCTTGTGTGCAATTTAGCTGCTGTATTTCCCTAAAAATACACAGTCACTACACTTTGTAGAAATCTCTGTGAAGCACTTTGATACGTTTCAACATGAACAAAATGAAATATAAGGATTACAGATTTTAAAACTGACTAGTTTTTGTTCTCGATGTATCTGAGCATAAATTATATCCAACTGTAGTTGACTAAAACCTCCTCTACAATTATTAGGTGATGGCAATTGAGCTTTGACATCAAAGCTTATTGCGCTTTATCTGCACATCAGTGGTGAGCGAAAACTACAAGCTTTATAACTTGGACACTGTGCACCATTACTGGAAGTTGATAGATTCAGCCACTGCATTACTCACTCCAAATAGCCGTCAGGATCGCATAGGGGTTGGATATTTTAGACTGTGGTGAATGATACAATGCTGTATTTCATTGATTTCTACTGTTTACTTATGAATGGCAACTGCCTGTTGAAATCACAGTACTCAGGAACAGGTTACAATTAAAGGAGCTAACTAAAGATATCAGCTTGGCTCAAGTGAGTTAGAAGATTGTGGGATCAAGCTCCACATCAGATCTTTAAACAAGTAGGTTTTGTGTATTATTGGCAAGCTGGTAACATTAAAATTGGAATTGGCATTGGCCAGTTATGCATGTGCATAACCATCCATCAGCTCCCCTTTCCTCCCGGGAGAGCAATCAGATTGGGAATTACAAGGTCAAAGTTGTGGTATCCCTCAAATGTTCCTTAAATTAATGACAGTGTTAAATTAAGGAACAGTTAAAGAATATTACAAGTTTTACTCCTGTAATTCTGTTACAAATTACTCTACCATGGAAACAATGTCAAATTGCTCCAGTAGTACAAAGGGGGCAGCAAATAGTTCAATCCTCTGACTTCCTTCAGCACTGCAAAACAATAGCATGGATAAATTGCCAGATTTACCAGCACGATAATCCATTAACACTTGCCGAAAAGGCAGTCCAGGAAGAGATCTTTAAATACGATTGAAATCCCTAGGAAATAATTACAACTTGCTGCCTACTTTTCTTTTGTACAGATACTGTCAGAAAAATAAAAGCTTCTCCATCTGCAGCGGAACAGGTGTCTCAAAAACTGAAGCACACACACGAGTTTACTGTTCTGGTTACACTGAAGCAGACTCCCTACAATTCAGGTGTCATTCTGTCAATTCATCACTCTGATGATAGGTAAGTGACTCAGTTGGTGTTTTATCTGAAAGCTTGCATTTTGCATTTATTCTTAGTGCAGTAAAATTGCACTTACAATTTACCCAAACTGCTCTGTGATTGCTAAAAAGATTTAAAATGCTGGACAATTACAAAATGAGTCAAACATTGCCTTTGCAAAAAGTGTAATTCTTTAAACCATCCTGCATACAATGACAGCTTATCACTTGTACTCCACATGAAGTTCAGAGAGCAGAACACAATACAATGACAAACGATGACTTATTATCAGAATTTGGAAGAGAAGATGGCAACAGATAGTAAGAGGGTTCAGAGAAAAGAAATGAAAGCTGGAAAGTACCACATCTACATCTTCTAGTTTTTCTTTATCAAGTAAATTGATTATTAAAGTGTTTCACATGTTAGTAAATAGTAAAAAAAAAGTACAAACCACTTCTATTCTTCGTATAGTAATTAGGAATATTTCCACAAATAATCACATCTATTGACACAATCACATTTGTTACACTGTAGCTTTTCCCTGATTCTCTACTTCCTGTATTTTTGGTCATTTGGGTGTCTTGACTCATCACAATGTTTTAGTGTACCCAAACCAGATAGAGTTTAACATATGTATGCCATGAATGCATGGAAAATTTCCAGGGAATGGAATGTGCACTCCCCCTATAGAGACACACTTCTTACCTAATTCTATTTTACTTTGATTTAGCTACTATGCTTTTATACTTTATAGACACATCAATAACATGAGAAACATCAGTGTCCCATCAGTGCATGTAAATCCATATTCATTAGACATTTTATTTAAATGATCTGTAAAATACCCCTGCACAACATTACAACTCACTATGGGGAGCGTGGAGAAACTAATTCCAAGCATAAATTCATACTTAAGTCATTTGATCTCCATTTGATTTGAAGGAAACTCTTATAATTTTCTATATTCAACCTTTGTACCTTTTTGCAGATTTTCTAAATATCTATTATAATAATAATACTAATCCTTGCATTTGATATAGCGCTTTTCACGTCGGGAGGACGTCCCAAAGCGCTTATAATAATATTAATATAATTAATATATTTAGGATTAATATAATAATAATCCTAACATTTGATATAGTGCTTTTCACGTCTTCTAGACGTCTCAAAGCACTTCACAGAATACTTGCGGTCGAAACGTGGCAGCTAATTATGCTCAGCAGTGTCCCACAAACAGTCATGGATTGAGTGACCAAATTATTATTGGCTTTTTTTGAAGGATTATTATCCCAGAAAAGTGATCCGCCAATCGATTAATAACCGGGTTCCTACTTACTGACAAGTAAACAGAGGCTTGTGAAGTAAGGAAACTTGCCCAACATTTCGCCCTGCCGGGAATCGAACATGGGTCTCTTGCTTGTGAGGCGAGTGCTCTAACCACTGAGTTACAGGACTTCATTATATGGTCATTTAAATGACAAAAAAAAATTCTCTGCCCATTACATTCCTAAAATTTCCCTACGACATTGTGTCTGTGGGACTTATTGTGTGCCACTCAATAACATTATTTCCTCTTTAACCAGTCAAATCATAGATTTGGTTCTCTTATTGGATATGGAACACGTAAGGTGTTATTATACAACAAAACCACAACTGACCCACGGACCATACTCCAAACATTAAAAATGACATAGTATGTGTAATTTTCTCTCAAAATCTTTCAGTTTGGGGAGAATTCCCAATTTAGCTGTCTAGTTTTCCTCTGTGTCGCTGAGCAATACTCCAAATAGAACAATTCCATTATACCAATATTGTAATTTCCAGTTCTTTGCTCAATAAAGCTCAATAGTAAAAGATGGTGCTTCCTCAATATTACATTACAAAGGGAATCTCTCTGAGATTTGTAATGAAATATGATAATCCTTGCATTTAATATAGCGGGTTATCACGTCTTCAAAACATCTCAAAGTGCTTCACAAAATATACTGAAAGTGAATTGACTGTATATTTTGTGGGTGAAACACTGGGAGAGCACACTTTTTCCACTTCAAGCACACACACGGCTTGTTTCCAGCTGGATATGCCATCAAGTTTATATAATGTTTTGCAATCCTGTGTACAATGACTTTAATGCTGATGGGACCTGACATCTTTTAACAACTGCACAGGAGGTAGCCTGTATCATTTGATGTGTGTACTCGTGAGTTAGACAACCAAGTGAGAACATATTTTGAGCTAGGTTCTGTGTTTATGAAGTACACACACAGTTCTACACAATCTACCAATATCATGTTAACCTTTGTAATGCTGGGCAAGGTCTCTTGAGATACACCAGATGACAGTTTATGATGATCAAATTGCAGATTAATACCATAATACAAAGAACTGTATTTAGGTTAATTTTGAGTTTGTTTTCATCATAGCTGGGGTTGGCTGTGAATTTAGGAATGCCAGAATAATGAGATCTCAGTTTAAATGACATGTTGATGCCATTGCTGGGGTTTGACACTGGTTTCTATGTGTGAAATTCATATATAGTTGCAACGAAAATATGAATAGCGAATGTAAACAAATGCTTCTTTAATTGAAGGGAAAGTTGCTATATTAATGTAAATTTGTATTACCGGATATATTATTGAATAATTTGAATAGTGTCCATATTTAGAATGCTGTGTTGTTTCAGGTATCTGGAGCTGGAGAGCAGTGGCCATCGGAATGAAGTACGTTTTCATTATCAGTATTGGTGGCATCAGTCCCGCACAGAGGTATTTCCATATGCTTTGGCTGATGGTCAATGGCATCGAGTAGCCTTGGCTGTTAGTGCATCGCATATAGTTTTATACGTGGACTGCAACAAGTAAGTAAAAAAANTAACTATTACATAGAAGAGTTATTAGGAAAAATTTGCAGGGATATGGGATAAGAGCGAGGGAGTTAGAATAGTTCTTTTAAAGAGCCAACACAAGCACGATAGGCCGAATGGCCTCCTTCTCTACTGGCAGATACTATGATTCTATGATTTCAAGATACAATTCGTTAAGATCCTTGAAATTAAAAGGATTCAGGATTATTAGGTAATGAGATATATCTGCTGAAAGTGTATTTGGGGAAGTTGGATGGATAGGCCATATGAGCCAATAGTCTGTTCCTGCCCTAACCTGTTACTATGTTTCTACTTATCGGATGAATAATTAAGAATAATAATGTGGATAGCCAGTGATGGCTGAGTGCTGTGAATAGATGATATATTGTTGGGTTGACTTGCCATACCTGATCAACCCAGTTACCATTATTAATTGAAAAGGTTATTTTAAATTAGTTCAATTTTTCAGCAACTTAATTTTCACTACCCAAAATAAGAGATGAATGTCTCTGTCCTTTGTGAAATGAGTTTGGATAGTCTCAACTGAGATCCCAGTGCTTGTATGCCCATAGCACACAATAGCCTCAATTCAACTATGTCACTCACAAAATATTGAAAGGATGATTCTTTGAAGGTCGGTGAATTTACCAACAATGAATGGTGGAGTGCATTTTGTTCTCCACTGGTCCATAATGTATGGGCCTTGGGAGTATGAGATTATAATTGGACTTTCATGCAGATTTTTATTACTTCTTGTCATGTGGACTGACCAGGGAAGCATTCTCCTGCTTTCCTGCCAACATGCCTTCATCCTGGCAACTGGATCTGGTAGGCAGCTGTCAGAACTGAAAGTCATACCATTCCTCCACATTACTTCCTCTACAAATGCAGAGATCTCTGGTTCCATAAAATAGGCCTCGATATTCTGCTGCTGTATTGCTGATTGTCTGCCCTATTTGAATCTTGTACCCCACCTGGTTATGAGATCATTAAGTGCTTCATTTAGTTACTTAAAGCCTCTGAAACGTGGGCAGCGTTCAGTTGCTCAGTAGAATATTTTGACTCAGGGTTCAGTAGTCCAGCACTTTACCACCCACTTTCTATCTTAATGGTCCCCAGTGAATGACATGAGAATAATTCCCTACCGCACTGCTGGAGAAAGAAACTGAAAGAGCCTATTGTTTTCAATGAATCTGAATGTTGAGTATGTGAAGAACCTCCCACTGAGAACAAAATTGTTCTTGAGGCAACTGAATGTTATTATATGCCAATGCTGCGATTATAGCAAACAGTCAAGCATGTCTTATGGCAGTGTTGGTGATGGAGCACTGATAAGATGCAATTCAACATTTTAATCCACCCGAGAGGCCATATTCCATCTTAAAACAGCTGGCAATAAACATTATTAGGGAGAAAATCCCCCTGGGTCTAGATTTGCTCTGTTTGTGTAGCATTTCAGAGCACCTGGAATTTGGAAAATTCTTAAATACATTCTTAATTTTAAAAGTAGTTTATCTGTAAGTTATTTTAACAAGAAAGTACTATTTACATAAATAGAGTAAATCTTAACCCAGGTGGAATTATTCCCCCATTTTATTTATTAATCTACAAATATAAATTAGGCATTTGAATTCTCCATGTCAATTAATTTCTCCCTCACTATTTTTAAAATTTGCATGGTGAAATAGGTTACACTTTAGTCTGAAACAGCCACCTTGTCCCTGTCATTTTTAATATTTTATTTGTTCAGATGTTTTAACAGTTCAGATCCAAAGAAATGCAGGTTGCAGGTTAAATTAAATGGGTGTATATGTTATTGTGCTTTCACTATATGAACTTTACAAACTGCTTTTGATTCATTTCAATCCACCTCTGAATAGAGACTCTTTCATCACTTAAAAGTCACTCTGTCAGCCAAGAAGCTCATTGGATTTCACTACATCTCCACCAATGTATTTCAATTAATAGTTTGCGTCTTTGCTTATAGGATTTACGAACGTGTTATTGAACGACCTTACATGGATATTCCAACTGGCTCAGCACTTTGGTTAGGACAAAGAAACAATGTTCATGGTCTTTTCAAGGTGAGCCAAACGCAGAAATAATACAGCTATTTTATTCTGTATAAAGTGATGCTGAAACAGGTTTCATTAGTCAATATCAATCAATTTCTCCTACTGTATTACTGTTGAGCAAGTGAAGGCTGGCAGCAAAAATTATTCATTTTTAAATCAGTGATTAATTTCTCTGTTCTCACTATACTTAAAATACTTTCTCGAAGCTAAGTATTCGTAATATCCAGGGTTTGGCAAGAATCCAAGCGAGAAATCTGCACTGGGCGGATACCGTCTATTTTGTTCCAGTTGAGCCCAAATCTGGTTTTGATTGGAATTGATTTTAAATAGCGATTCACTCTCAACTTTGCCAATGTGTAGGAAATAGCCTGTTTCGGATTTCTAACCCTTCAGTTTTTTGGTTAGCCAGATGTCTGTTAAATGCAGAAACCTATCACCATGCTTAAGAGTATTCAAACCGGACTGAGAATTCCACATATGCCATCACCTACACATGGAAATGTCTCTGTGTCTGAAATGGAATGCACACTCTCTTCCTGGAGGGATGCACACTGCATACCTGATTCTGGGAAGTATTATGTGCAAGTTGGTGTGGCTTGGGCAAGAATGTATGTTGAGGTACTGTGGGCGTTTAACTGGTTAAAATCGCCCTTCTGACTATTATTCCATAACCAGGTGCCTCACCTTGGAGCTAGTTCAGCTCCAAGGAGAATCACTATCGCCTCCCAGTGAGGAAAGTTAGTAGTTAATCTGATTGTCTGAAATTTGGATAGTTTTCATATTCCCAAAAGTCAGCTAATTTACAAAATAAAATTTTTCATCTTATAGCACAATCTTTAAATGTAAAACGAAATACACTGCATATTATTCGGCCTTGGATTAATCATGCAGTTTTATACAACTAATGACAATGCCACAATTCAATAAAGGTTGAGTATTGAAGCAAATGTAATAACAGTTTTCTACTGAGAAATTCAATTGAAAGCAGTTTGATCATTCAACTGGTTCAAACTAGTCTTGATCAATTTCAATAGAAGCAACTGATTGTGAAATTAACTGGAACAAATGCAGGAAGTAACTGTTCAAGGTCAATACCTCAAGCAGTGAGAACTGAAATAATGGTCTTAACTCAAGGTTAATTCTTCTCTAAAGCAAGGCATCTTCACAAGGGGTGTCAGCTCAAGCTCTAGCTTCTGCTGGTACATGTGGGCGCATTCTGTCATCTCTTTGTCACATCTTGCAGATTATATGAATCTTTATGGGAACTTTTGAACGACATCAATAGCAAATCATGGGGTGAAATTAACAGCATTTCAAAAAGCGTTGAATTGTGAATATGTTGTGAAACACCACTAACCTCACTCTGTGAGTGAACAGAGTGGAACAGCTGTTTGAAGGTGGGCTTCACACATTTAAAGACAGCTTCAGGGTTCAGTTGACTTTCGAAAATGCTCAGACAGACATAACTCTAAAAGGTTACAATGGCATCAGATCCCTCTGCTGTGATACAGCCTTGTAACACTCTGACTGCAGTTTATCCAATATGTAGTTAAGACCTGTTAATTTATTTCGTAATGTTCCAAATTTAAAATAGCAATATGATGCGCTGTTAATCTCCATTGATTTACAGTTACGATAACAAAACCTGAGCACTTGAACTTTTGTTTGTTTTCTGCAATATTAGCCACAGTTTCTAGTGTACTTTTCTAGGGGAAGAAACCAAAGCCACAAAAAAGCAGTGTTGCAAGCTGAAGAGAGCAATAGGACTGAGGATTTTTATTGTGGGTATTTACTGATGGAATTTGTTTCTCACCACAGGGCGTCATGCAGGACGTGAAGATTCTTGTGATGCCACAGGGGTATATTACTCAATGCCCAGATCTCAATCGAAGTACGTTTCATTTTGACATTGTGTTAATTGTACGTAAGATTGAAAGAAAATCTTAGAATCGTATTTTACAGCAAACACTTTATAGGGAGATTGTCAGTGTACCTGGTAATCCACTAGCTATATAACTTTGACAAGAAGAAACAACATGTGATCTGACCTTAAGAACGGTATGATATATATTAATCTAGCTATTATATATTACAGTATATATTATATATTAACGTCCTTGCCAGTCTCCCAAGCTCCCTATTAATTATATTATACTCAAAGCTCTGCTACCCATGTCCTCGTCTATATCAGGCTCTGCACTCCCATGTCCCCAGTTCTTGCCAGGATCCACTAGCTCCCTGTTGCACAACGGATCAGTTTCAAGATCCTCGACCATGCTATCGACTGTACCTTACCGCCCCCCACATTCCGGCTCAGCATCAAGCCACATTGCTATTAAGCACTCCGAAATGCTAACCATAATTGCAAGTTGCTGTTCTTGGTTATTGTATTAAACAAACTTTTAAAATGCTGTTTGTTTGTGTTTAAAACAGTTCAATATTGTGAAACATTATAATCATAAAGGCAGATGTGTTATGTATAACTTCTCAACATTCATATTTTAAACATCAAGCTTTCTATCGTTCTAGCCTGTCCAACTTGCAATGATTTCCATGGGCTTGTGCAAAAGATTATGGAACTCCAAGATATTTTAGCCAAGACATCAGGAAAGGTATTTCCTCTTATATAAGGAATGATTTTTTGCTTTTGCCATAAATTGCCATTTCTTTGATAGCAAATTAATTCTGGATGAATTAAAATAGCATTTGTGCACTAAAGACTGAGTTTCGTAGAATGAATTCAGAATATGACGTCAAGTACACACTGTGGTTGTATATAGCATCAATGACCAATGTGTTTGGGTAAACAATATGCAACCACACATGGAACCCTAACTCAGAAGCCACCCTTATATAAAAGCCACTTTGGCTCAATCCCCTGAGAGAGGTGGCTGAAGACAAGTTTGGCTGGAAGTAATTAACAACCATGTTAATGTTGGTAACATTGGCTGTCTGATATCTGGATGAGCACTTTGAATTCATAAAATAGAAAGTTCATTTCATTAGTCTGGATATCATATTAAAATTAAATCAAGTTCAAATAGAAGATTTCCCTTTTTTCCAGTAAATGTTTTTTTTTAATTACGCATGTACTGTATATGTTTTAAAAATGAAGAGAGTCCGACTGTATAACGCTCATGTTCACACAGCTCTCTTACGCTGAGGAAAAAATGAACAAGTTGGACCAGTGTTACTGTGAGAAGAGCTGTAAAGTGAATGATGTCGTCTACAGAGAATCACAGACCTGGACAGATGGCTGCAGAAGCTGTACATGCAAGGTACACAACGCTGCCCATTCTACAGTGGTGACTACAGTGCAAGACTTTGATCTCAGTTCTGTCCTTGTTGATTTATTTCATATATCAAGATTTCCAAACAATGGGATTCAGTTTCCCCGAACTACAACTACAACAGCAAGGTTGAATTTGCAATTGACAAAAAATGGCTACTTGCGATTTCCAAATCTCACCAAAATGCAAACAGAAAAGGGCGTATTGCAAACCCATTTGTTTGTTCAGTTCCTCAACCCAATTGGACATTTTGCAAATACCACAAATCGAAGAACAAAACATATCACAATTAATCCTTTCTTGTGAATGTCATATTAAATAATAATATTCAATATTACTGCACTCTGCATCAACCCTCAACAAAGTTGCACACTTAATTTTCCAACTTAATTAGGTTTTCAGTTATGCCTGATTTTACACCAAAGATAAACTACACCACTAAACTAACCACATGCAATTCCCCTCCTGTTTATTGCTAATATTTGGAGCTAGTGAATTGCATCAGTAAAGGTGCACCTGTAAGTTTGCTTTTTGTTTGGGGGTGGGGAAGAGGGGAAATGTAATCCAGAAAGAAAGCTTGGTTGTTTAAAAATGTTAAAGAATAAAGAGCAACTTTCAAAGCATTCTATATTACATATGTGGCTTTAGTTACACAATGAAGCCCTAGCTAAGACTGATGTGGAAGAAATATTACTCTTATGTCTCATTTACTGAGCAGGGATAATTTGTTATCTCTGCCAACAGATGGTGGATTTGAAGCAGTAGCAGGATTTATATTTCCCATTTCAAGTTTACGCTTGCTGGCTGAGGAGAACTGTGTGCAAAGCTCCACTAACTGGCACTGAATACTGCTTGGTTATTTAATGTTATTAAACAGCTTGTCTACTTGTTTTGAAAAAGAGAGATCTTGGGGAATAGGATTGACAAACTGCTATGTAAATAGGGCAAAGAAACTGAGAGGAAAACAATATCTTTGCATGAGCTGGTTAGAAAGTTGTTTGACTTGAAATAAAAGCTGGGGAAACATGAGGAGCAACTTATGCACTGAAAACATCATGCTAATTTGCCTGTTCTTGTGGTTGTTAAAGATCCCATGACACTATTCCAGAACAGTAGGCAGTTTCTGATAAAGGACTTCCAGGTCATAGAGGCAGTACAGAGGAGAACAACAAAAACAATCCCCAGCAGGGGAGAAATGACCAGACAATCTGGGGCTGTTCAGTCTTGAACAGAGACATCTCAGAGGGGACCTAATAGAGGTATGATTTTAAATGAGATTGAGAAAGTAAACGCAAAACAGTATTCTCAGATGCACCGAGACAGGAGAATAAGATAGTACAGGTTGCAAAGGACCATTTTTGGATGGACACCAGAAAGTATTTCTTTACCTAGAGGTTAATTAATGATTGTAATATGTTACCAGGAGAGTGGTTGAGCCCAGGATATTGGACTTGTTTTTTTTTAAAAAGTCTGATGTTGTATTGGAAGCATTGTAGGGTGGATATCCTTGAAAGATGAGATCAAAGATGTACCAAAAGGTCTTCTTTATCCGAACCAATCTTATAATCTTGTGAACAATGCTCCAGAGAAATTGATCATTCAGTTAATGACTTTCTGTGGAACCTTGTGTGTAAAATAGACTACTACAATTACAGAGTCATTATATTTGACAGCAATTATCTGTAAAAGTGATCTAGGATGCTACCCTGCGTGAAAGACGCCATATAAATGCAAAACAAAAAACAGAAGTCGCTTGGAACACTCAGCATGTCAAGCAGCATCTATGGAGAAAGGAAAGTGAGTCAACGTTTTGGGTCCACGACCCTTTGTCAGTTCTGGCAAAGGATCGCGGACCCGAAACATTGACTCACTTTCCTTTCTCCATAGATGCTGCCTGACCTGCGGAGTGTTCCCAACGACTTCTGTTTTTGTTTCAGATTTCCAGCATCTGCAGTATTTTGTATTTTGCTATATAAATGCAGTTGTTGTTATTAAAAGTGCTTTGCGACATTTTGACATTATGGGTACTAAATCAAATGTGAATGCCAGGATTATAATATCCATTTTAAAAAAATTACAATTCCATTTCTTCCCCTGAACTAGAACCTGTGTATTAACCACTAAAACAAACTAACAATTTATACCCATTCATTTCTCTCTGAGCACGACAACTACAATGAAATTTTTAACCAGTGTAAAATTAGGCTGTAACCACAGTTTATTTTAAGACAGATCTGCAGCAAATATGATTTCTTTCAGAAAGAAATCCAGATAAATATCTTTTCTATGAATGCCCAATCATATTTTATGACCAGTGCTGCACACAAAAGCTGCGATAGACATTGCTTGCAGTGCTGTCAGTGACATGTAGTTGAATGTACAAGAGATTTATAGCAAGTGGGGTGTGTGTAAAGTCCTGTCCAATTTCTAGTGGTGAATAATGTATCGGTGTCAAAATCTAACAAAAGGTTCTTTTAACCGTAAAAACCACAATGTTTACTTTTGGAAGCACCCAAGAAAGCAGAATGAAAGGACACAGGTTTACGGCTGCACAGTACACTAGAAAGTATTTCTTTCCCCAGAGGGTAATTAACAAATGGGATAGGTTACCAGGCAGAGTGTCTGAGACCAGGATGCCGGATTAATTTAAAAAACAGCTTGATACTGCGATGGGAGTATGATAGGTGGGTCTGCTGGAAGGATCAGATCTAATGAGCCAAAGCACCTTCTTTATCTGAACCTCTCTTGTTTCCTTTCAGAATGGGACAGCACAGTGCAAGAAGCTGATCTGCCCACCTGAGAATTGTTCTCCGGGTAATGCTCCCGTCTATGTGGATGGGAAATGTTGCAAGGAATGCCAGCGTGAGTATCTCACTATTTCGTGGATACCTTATGTACTCGGGTTATAAGTAAATACATTTAATTCCTTCTTAAATTCATTTTTCGTGCAGGACATTATATTATCAGCTGTCCTCCAAGTGTAACATTCTCCAGATGGTCTCATCGTGAAGCTTTAAAAAAACAAACCTTTTCACTAATAGCCTAATTATTATGCACAAGCATGTTCTCTATTAAAATATGCATATCCTTTAATAGAAACTACAATTATTTTCAAGTCCTTATAAAATAATCAAAAAAAAATGAGAGAAGCACTCAATCTGTATTCAGTTTTGGTTCAACCTTCACAACCCATACATCTGGTTGAACGCAAAGATTATTTATTATTTATCTGGTCATGACCAAACCGTTTGTCCCTCCCTTACTGCACTACTAAGGAAAATGACATATAGCCATATTGAAACATTCAAAGACTTAATAAATACAGTTCTCTCCCTGACTCACCCCCATGGAAGGAAGCAACATCAAAGTAGAAATTGGATTTGATTTTTTTTAAAAATATAGATTTATATTTGTATTTCCTGCTTTGAAATCTCATTGGGGCAAAGCTTGAGTAAAGCTCTACTAACGAAAGCCCTCTACAACACTATCCTGTGTGAGGAGTGCTATTAAATGCAAGTTGTTGTTGTAATCCCTCAGGGCGCCTACAGAGCCCTGCCAAATGGCACTATGTTTATAAAGTTTAAAATGCTTCAGGTATGTGCAATGACAATCCTCTCCCCCTCCCCAGCATTAAGATGTAATTTGTTTTAAGAGTAAAGCTTCCTTTGAAATCAGCGCACTACAAATCGGATTTATATTGCAGTCTTTGTGCAGATTTAATTACACAATATTTGTTGTTTCATTGATGCTCCTGAAGTTAGATATCAGCTTTAAACTGCACCTTTAGTGTTGATGGAGTCTTGAATATCATTAAATAGACATTAACTGTGTTATATAAGTAAAGCATTGAAGTCTGCCTTTTCCTGTTGTTACTACATTGTTGGCTATGCCTTTGGGACGTGGTCTGGGACTCTACCCTGCGTGAGGGGCGTTATATAAATGCAAGTTGTTGCCTTTGGTCATCTTTCCCTTGGCCTCCTCATTGCTTGGTGTCCCATACTACCTATAGAACACACTTCAAGACGTTCTCCTTTGTGAAAGGCACTATATGGTATGAGTGCAATTTGTTGCTACAGCATCATATAGAAGCCACTTAGCCAACAATGTTCACCATGTTAGAAAACTAGCTGCATTTGCAGAACTGTGACAGATAATTTAAGAGGAATATTAGTCTCGCCACGTGTTTGAGATGCTATTTTCTTTCAAAAGAACAGGCTTCTGTGAAACAGAGAATCTCTGAAATAAGCAAAATTCAGACACAAATTAACCAGATGTTGCCTGAATTGCCCCCAGTTCAGTGCTCATTCTCCTAGAATTAATTACAAATTATACAATGATATATTATCAAATATATATTTAAAAAATATAATATTGAAATGTGCATTTTCTGGGGTGTTTAACTATTTACCAAGTGTCGTATTCACCAAATAAGTAGGTCATTCCACCCATCGAGCCCATGCCAGCACTTTCCAACATCATGGTCAATCCGCAACTCAATTCCACTTCCCCACCCTCTCTCCATATTCCTTTATATCCTGTCTATCAAGCATTTATCTATTTGCCTTTTAAATTCCCACCACCCACTGCATATTTCCTTATTTCACTTCTGAAAAGTTTAACCTCAAGTTTAAGAATATGGTCTGTTGTTCTCAATTCTGTCACCAGAGGAAACAGTTGCTCACTCTTCAGCCTGTCAAATCCCTTTGTAACTTGATACACCTCAAACAGATCATTCCTCAACCTGATTGAGTCTGGTCCAGTTGGTAGCGCTCTCGCCTGTGAATCAGAAGGTTGTGGGTTCAAGCCCCACGTCAGGACTTTGATCTCACAATCTAGTCTGATACATTACTTCAATGCAGTGTTGGATGAGTGCTGCATTGTTACAGCTGCCATCCTTTAGATGAGACGTTAAACCAAGGTCTCATCTGCCTGTTCAGGTGGACATTAAAGAAAAGAGTTTCTCCTGGTGTCCCGGCGAACAATACCTGAGATCAAACTGATCATTCATTTTTTGACTGTTTGTGGGACATTGCTATGTGCATTATTGGCTGTGGTGTTTTCTTACAAGAATACACTTCACAGTAAAAATCTTATGATAATATAATAAAGCGCTGTCATATGCAATTATTATTATAATTTATTTTATTTCAGCTAGCACAGGCCTGCTGTGCGTCCCCCAACCCCTCTCCGCCACCAATGGTCCTAATCCACTTAACTCCCTGCCTCAATCCCTCCACCTCACTTCCTCTTTATCCATCTTTAAATCTAACCTGAAAACCTACCTCTTCAACTGCGCCTATGGTCACCTCCCCCTTCACAGAGTCCAATCCCACCACTGTACAGGCTCAAAGATGCTATCATAATAACAATAATAATAATAATCGTTGCATTTGATATCGCGCCTTATGACATCGTTGAGACGTCTCAAAGCATTTCACAGAATATATTGTAAAGTGAATTGACTGTATATTTTGTGAACAAAACACGGCAGCCAATTGCGGAGTGCAGGGTGGATTGAGTGACCAAATTATTTATTTAATTTTTGTTTGAATCTATATGCATGAAGGGAGTCATATAAATCAAAGTTGTTGTTTATTTATTGAAAGTGAGATAAGCAATATGTGTTGGCTGAGCTTATGTATTCAGTTTGTACAGTTTCTCCTGAGAGCAGCAGCTTGAAATGTTGGTAAGTACTGAATGCCACCAGAAGCTGCTGTGCTGATCTGGTTTTATTGAGCTTCAGCAGCTCCATTGTTTCTTGTGCAGTTTACAGAGTGGTGATGCAAAGGTTATCCTCTTCACAGCTTTATTGTGCTAATGCAAAAGCTCCCCTAATGGCACCGATTTCTGACTAATGTCAAGTATCTTTTGTTTGATGAGCCGATTTGTCTTTAATCATCTGCTAAAATATGAATGTATTTGCCCCCATTCACATGGCGGATGAACAGAATCCCACCACATATGACACACAATATATTTCAAATTTACCAAAATGCAAATATTTCAGATATAAATAAAGCAAATTTTGTTCCAATTAATAGTTGTATTTCCATTGGGAAGCTGATGAACCAATAAACACCCAGAATAAAAAAAACAGGGCACCAGCTTTACCAGCAGGAAACACTGCTAAATTCCTGTTTGTAACGAGGGGGAGAAGTGGGGGGATGGGTGCCAACATGTTTTCTTAATGATCATCTGCTCTTATGTATAAATCTGGATCATTCAACTCTTTCCATTGAACTATTATGTTTTTTGCAGCAATAGGTAAAAATGGGCAAGTTCAAAACCAGTAACTCTGCAAGCTATTAGATAGAATCGAAAACCTATCCATATTTCATGTCGCTGTGACCTACTTATTTACAAGTGTTATAATACAAAGGTCTACTTTTGGACTATAGTGGTAGGCAAGGAATACTTATGTATCTGCTGGTGATATAGGGATAAAGTACATTGTTATGCTCTTTGGTATGCAGCCATCGTTTTTCAGCTGAGCAATATTTCAGCTTTCTACTTAAGTACAGAGTAGGACATTTGTCTGTCAAGTCTATTCTATTTCGTTAGATCATGTCAGATCTTTTAATCTCATTTCACCACCTTTTCTTCAAATCAGTTAAACTGTTACAACAACTACAACAGTAGTAATTTTATATTTCTGTAGGACCTTTCACATTGGGCAAATACTTCCCTGAGCTGACAGGGAGCTCAAGCTGAGTGTGGGTAGAAGTACTTAACATTTACAAGTATTACATGTCTCCCTTTTAAATATCCCAAATGATTCTGCATTTCCTTCTAACCAGTTCAGCTGTAATTTTAAAGTCATGCCCCCTTATTTTGTATCCCTCTGCTAATGGAAAGTGTAGTACCCAAATATCACTAAATATTTAAAAATGTAAACATCTCAATCAGATCCCCTTCCTGACTCAGGGGAATATGACTCATATTTACCCAGTTTCATCCTAGGTAATTTCCTTCATCCCAGGCATTAATTTACTAAACCCCCTGGTTAACTTGGACACTGATTTCAATTAGCTTGTAATTTTTTTTGCAGTGTTTAAATCTAAATTAGACCAGCTGCAGTATGCTTTAAGGAGAGATATTCCCTCCCATGTTTTGGTTACAGATTTACATTGGACAGTACCAATGGACATTTTCCTGCCCTGCCAGAAACACTGAGCATCCACAGTAGAATTCAAAAATCTGTTTTATTTTGTTGTTTCCTCAAGAAACTGACTTGTGGCTGGTGTATGACTCAGCAGATGCCAACTGTTCTCCATCACCTCACTCATCTGACCATTTTAGATTGCCAGTGTTAGCAGGATATTACGGGGAGCGTAATTACAACAGCGACAACTTGCACTTATCACAAATGAACATTTTGTTGAAGTACTTCTCAAGGGATGGTATGATTCACAGTTAAGTTTAATTCTGCCTGCCCCTTATACCCTCAACTTGTGCTTTCTAGGGTTGTCATTGGATATAAATCCATAGTAGAGCTCTAGCAAATTTTTGTTTTTCTCTTAGCCCAGGTAATGCTGACATCCGTTGTACAAACCCTACTCAACTAATAGCAGCTAACTCAACATACCCGAAATCTAAACAGGAGCCTTTTTTGGCACATGACTCAGTTATATATAAAACAAATTGAAATAACGCATTATTTTTATTACCAGCTGTATGTGTCCTTGGCAACAAGCGTTACCATAATGGAGAGAGAACAACAGAGTGGAAAGCTTCAGGGGAGTGTTATCTCTTAGAGTGCAAGGTAGGACTCACACATCCACTGATGATTATGAAACTATGAAAACCTTTTTTAATTTTGCATAAAGGTTTTGATGTGTAGATTTAAGACCTCCTTTGTGTTCTAATTGCCAAACAAAATCTTATTTTAAGACTCACGATTTCTGTTTTGTAAAACAACCGAGACACACGTTGACTAACTATGCAACCTTTAAAATGTTAACTGTTTGTGCAAGTCCACATTTTTTCTTAAAGTTAACGTTTTTCTGGAATTGTGTTACAAGACCAGCCATACAAAAAGGCTTGTGCAATCAATATGTAGAACGGGTCCATATGAGAGAATTGAGAGAGTCAGTTATGGCTCTTTATGGAGAAAATATCACAGAATTAAATGTTTCCAGTTTCCAGTTTTGTAAAGTGAAAAAAAAACTTAGAAATCTTGGCTCTAGGAGTTTAAGTGTGTTACAGTATATTAAATTTAAGCTTAGTGGAATAGTCAGGGTCTATTATTTGAGTTATGTAAACTATGTGTAAACACAGCACAGAGGAAATTCTTGTAACTTCAATTATGGTCTAATATTTACCAACTAAAGAAAATTAATTATTAATTAACAATCGATCCTTCACGTTAATTATCATTTACCCGTTCTGCCTTCCCCTACCTGCGCAACATTGCCTGACTCTGCCACAGCCACACCGCTCAACTGTGCCTTCAGCCGCCCTCCTACCGCTCTGCCCTCCCTCATCCCAACCCTCCCCACCCACGCTTGGGTCCTGATCCCCGACTGGTCAGCGTCTTGGGACATCCTCCCGATGTGACAAGTGCTTTACAAATGTAATTTTGTTGTTTAAATCAAGAGCTATTACTCTTTATGGGTGGCACAATGAATTTAATACACTGGCCTTTCACTTTTGGGATATGGGCCTGAATCCATCTCAGTTTCCCTTCTCCTTTGAAAGTGTTTGTGAGATGGGTTTCAGTGCCTCACACTCTCTTCCAGTTAGCAGAATAGAACTTCTCATAAACTGGCACCGATGGACAGTCTTGCTGAGAGAAGCCACAAGCAAGGCTCACGAGCCATGCTTGTGAAGCGCTCTGAGATGCCGTCCGGCATGGAGGGCGCTATATAAATCCAATTTGTTGTTGTTGTTGAGCGCAATGGAACTGTCCCTCTGGTGAAGAGGAGGATGACTCTCTGAAGCTGATGTAGTGAAGAATGTTGCTGGGGGTAGTGTAGAAGAAGCTTTACTCAGCATCTCATTCAAGTTATCACCTGACCTGGGGCTGCTTGATGGGTAAAAATACGAAAAAAAATCTATTTACAGCACTCGCATCTGTCATCCTAATGAGCACAGACACATGCACAAAAGTGTCACCAATGTTGAGTAATGTCAAATAGTATAACCTGGGGACAGGCTGAGGCCTGAAGGAATAATTCCTCTGGTAAATTTTAAAATAAAAGTAGTTAGTTAAGCAAAACATCAAGGAAAACTAACATACACAAATTTAAATGTGTTGTAACAGAGAATTAAGGAGCATATGTTCACAATATCTGATGAATGAATCAATGAATGAAGTCAAAAATTTGTGTTGTTTTTTTGTGCGTGAAGGACTCAGTCTTGAAAGGTTTGAAGCCTCAAGCGATAACTCCAAGTTTAAATTATGTTAAATCTGCAAACAGAAACACCAAACAGAAATGTAATGAAAGCAATGGGTATCTTTAATAATAGAACCTGAATCAAATATAATCGAAAATGTTTATGTCATAGAGTAATAATTATTTTTACCTTAGTTCTGAAGTGGCAAATGTTTTGACCCCTAAATGGGTTTAATTAATGTTTTCTGCATTGTTTGACAGGACAAATCAATGCAACGTGTTCTGTATCCAAGTTGCCCTTCTCTGCCTTGTTCATCATCAGACCAAATCTCCCTGACATACAGCTGCTGCAAGGTTTGCAAAGGTATTGGACAAAGGGTTTAGGACTCAAGTCAAGTTCTGAATCAACATCAATGTACAATGTGGTAAATGTAGATTTGCCATGTTGAATTCTGATTGATTTGTAATTCTAGGGAGACATGTCATTTGTGCCCCGAGGAACCTAGCTGTAGTGAATATGAACAACAGGGCAAGTTATAATCCAAGTTTTTTTAAGATGTACATTTCAATTACAAGATATTCCAATTTGTATTGGTTCACTGCTAATAATGGCCTGTGACAAAAGGAATTTTTAATATGGATATGTCTTTTGGGACCTGATAGACTGGGATATCTTGAACAAAGCGGTGCCTTTGTAGCTTGCCTGCTGAACATCATGACTGCTAATGGCAGTAGTGCTCCTACAGTCTGTGCAGTTGATTTTTATCCTTCAACTTCCACCAACTATTTGCTCGGTTAGTCCTTCCTGACTCAATCACTTTAACACACTCTGTTGCTCCAGTTACATAGCTATTAGTTAATTTATTGGAGGTTAATGGAACAGGCTTTGGGCCAACAGGTTACAACATGGCCAGCTTCAAAGCACTAGAGCTGAAAAACAAAGGAACCGATTTAAGTGTCAAGCCGTTGAAGTTAGTGCTATGAAATAGATGAAGAATCAGTTTGTTCATTGTCAATGTAAAGGTGGCAGACTCAGATTTCTAAAATCAGTTCTGGATCAAAATAAACCCACCAAATAAATCCACCTCTGAGATAGATTCTAAGCTAGAATCAGGAAGCCAGGTTGAAAAGGATGGAGTGCTTTCAAAATTTGGTTTTGATCATCTTGTGAAGAGGTTGGGAATCTGACCCATGACTTGCAATGAAGTGTACAGCTCACATGACCAATTATTTTTCAAAAGGATATATTCACACACACACACACACGCTCACAGTGTCTGAAGCTTGGACACAGTATCTTGATGTGTATTTTTAAACAATGGTATCCAGGTGCTGCCTTTTCTCAGCCTATGTTGTTAGCGAATCCACTCAATCTGACGGGGCTTTTTATCAACAGGATATGGTAATACAATGCCACAGCTAAGGTGCACTGCTTCTCACTCCTGGCAGATTGATGAGAGACTAGATTTATCATATGATTTTGTTGTCAAATCACTAATGCATTTTTTTTAATGCAGGCAATGATTTTTGCGCTGAGGGCCCCAACTGTGTTGAAAACTCTAAATGTGTGAATTTGGAAGCTGGTGCATTCTGCCAATGTAACACTGGCTACATGCCTCTCCGGGAAGACAAAGCCTATTGCACAGGTCAGTGTATGGAAAATGTTGCACCACAATTCGCGTTTGAGCCTTTATACCATGACAGTCTTATTATCAAATGCAAGGATTATTATTATTATTATAATATTAACATGGGCTGAATGCGTAATCTAAGTGCAGCAAAGAGAGAGGAGATGAAAACGTAAAGAAGAGAGAAAGTAAAGCAAGGAGGGGGGAACAGATAGCAAATAAAAATACTTGAAAGATTTTTCCCGAGCAACAGTGAGATAGATTAGTTTTTTCAGTATGGACGAACCAGAATCCACAAGTGATGCAGGCGTTAGGGGGTTGAGCTTGTTGTTTACATAACTGAAAAAAATACCCGCAAGCCACCATTATGAGTTAAATATTCTGTTCATTTTGTGGAGGCGCAACTCCAGAGGGAAACGTAATGCCTCTTTAAATTGATTTGAGAACTCTGCTGCTGTTGACCAGCAATTATTTCACACTGGCGAAGGAACACTTTGGATTTTCACACAAGTGAAATAATCTTGTGAGGCGTGAAATTACTAGTCAGGTCATAGAATGAAAGGCAGTACAAAGCTCGGTTGAAAGGCAAGGTAAGCTGCTTTGTTCCATGCATCAGCAAAGCACATCAGATTCAACAAATCCCAGTAAACAGCACAAAACTGTAGTGTATATACAGTATCGTGGAGTCCTGTAGCTCAGTGGTTAGAGCACTCGCTTTGCAAGCGAGAGACCTGAGTTCAATTCCAGGCAGGGCAAAACCTTGGGCAAGTTTCCTTACTCCACACGCCTAATAATAATCCCTCCAAAACCAAAAACAATAATAAATTGGTCATTTTCAATCTACGACTGTTTGTGGGGCATTGCTGTGCGCAATTGGCTGCCGCGTTCGCCCACAAATATACAGTCAATTCACTTTACAGTGTGTTCTGTGAAGCGCTTTGGGACGTCCTCCCGACGTAAAAAGCGCTATATCAAATGCAAGGATTATTATTATTATAGTATGCCAATATGCATGTAGACATTGGGTTCCTCAGTGTTTCTGCAGGAAAACTATAGATTAGCTCTGACCTTCCAGAAATCTTTCTCTGAGCCTTTTCAACACTTTTAATGAAACAGAGATGAAAAAAGCGAACTGATGTGATTATTATTACTGCTAATATTAACAAAATTGTAGTACAAACAGACGATAATTACCAACGAAGCAAAAATTTCAGTGGCTGACATTTGAAAGAGAAAAATAGATCGGCATAGAGTTTGGGCAAAATGAGAGCTGAAATGTGTTTGACTGGGGAGGCACTGCAGAGGATGGCAAGTCAAGAAACAAAAGGTATTAGGACGTTAGAAAGTGATCACAAGGTAAAATAGTTTGGCGCATCATTAAAAGTGCCATTAATGGAAGGTTTAGAAAAGAAAAGGAACAGTAGATGTGACAGAAATAAGCAGGTGATAACTCCTTGTCCCTTGCGTTTTCTGAGAATGAGAAATCTACTTCACACTACGGAGACAGGCTATTCACTCTGTCTAGATCAGTGGTGGCCAACCCATGGCCCAAAGGCCAAAAGTGGCCCGCACTGGCAACAAAACATGACCTGCCAAACAGTCACATAAGTCTTGGTAAGTCTGTGTTAAATCAATATTTTGTATCCTGTTGCTACTGATTAGCAAAATTTATGGTGTGGCCATAAATTAAGAAATACTCATGGAAAATGTATTTGGTTGGTCACCACTGGTCATAGGTACTGCACGTACAAAACATATACATACAGAACACATACAGCATCTGCAATCAATATCCAACCTTATTAAATATTTAAAATTGTCCCCACCATTTGTATCTAAATTAGCAAATTCAGATTTGTTTTAGTTTTAACTTCATTGCCAAGCTCTAATTGGCACAGAAGCAACATGTTTTTCAGTTGCCTAGACCATATTTGATCAGTGAGATAACATGGTGAAGGAAGATAAGAATAATAAATAATTCATACAACAACAACAAGATTACATTAAAATAGCGCTTTTGACGTCGGGAGGATGTCTCAAGATGCTGGACTGACACAGTTACGGACCTGAGCTGAGGGTCGGGTGGGGGAGGGTGGAGGGCAGGGGTGGAAGCAGGGAGATTGAAAGCCCGGTCAAAGAGTTTGAGATGGTTCTTGAAGGTGGCGAGATGGAAGGATTGCGGGATGGAGTTCCAGAGGGTGGGTGCAGAGTGGCGGAAGGCCCATCCGCCAATAGTTGGGCGAGCAAGGCAGAGATCGTGAAGTAGGCCGGAGCCCGCTGAGCGGAAGGAGCGAATAGGGTGGTAGGGGTTTAGGAGGTCAGAGAGGTAGGGAGGAGCAAGACCATGGAGGGCTTTGAAGGTGAGGACCAGGATCTTGAATTGTATCCTCTGTGTGATGGGAAGCCAGTGGAGTTGGGCACAGATGGGGATGATAGGGCTTCGGAGCCTAGTGCAGGAGAGGATATGGGCTGCAGATTGTGGATGATCTGCAGCTTGTGGAGGGAGGAGTTGGGGAGGCCGACAAGCAGTGAGTTTGCATAGTCGAGCCTCGATGTAATGAAGGCATGTATGAGGGTTTTGAGGACCTGCGGTGTGAGACAGTGTCGGATTCGGGCAACGTTGCAGAGTGGGTCATGGCGCAGATGTGGGGTAGAAACAATAGTTGAGGGTCAAACAAGACCCCTAAGTTCCGGACTGGCTTAGTAAGGTGGAGTGTACAACCATGGATGGTGATGCTGTCAGCACCTGAGGTGAGGAGGCGCTGACGGGAGCCAATCAGGAGAGCCTCAGTCTTGTTGATGTTCAACTGAAGAAAGTTAGCTCTCATTCAGGACTTGATGTCTGACAGACATTCTGTCAGCACAGCAGTGATCCTAGAGTCAAGGGTGGAGACAGAGAGGTAGAGTTGAGTGTCATCCACATACATGTAGAAGTTAACCCCATGTCTGCGGATGATGTCACCAAGAGGGAGCATGTAGATATTGAAGAGGAGGGGATCAAGGACAGAGCCCTGAGGAACGGCGCACAAGACGGTCTGGGGGCTAGAGGAGAAACTGTTTGAGGAGATGAAGTGCAGGCGATTGTGAGAGATATGATCTGAACCAATCAAGGACAGCACTGTGGAGGTTGAGGTGAAAGGAGAGACGGTGGATGAGGATACAATGGTCGATGGTGTGGAAAGCAGCAGAGAGGCAAGGAGGACGAGGAGGCAGAGGGAGCCCTGGTTGCAGATGGACAGAATGTCATTTGTCACTTTGACCAGGGTGGTTTCTGTTCTGTGGATGGCACAGAATCCCGATTGGAGGTGTTCGAGAAGGGAGTGGTGGGAGAAGAAGGAGCGAAGCTGAGAAGCAACAACTCATTCCAGGACCTTACATTTGGTATACTACCTTTCACGTTGGTTCAAAAACCCTTCACAGGATTTACTGTAAAGTGTAGTGACTATGTGTGCTTTATGGGGGAACACAGCAGCCGATTTGCACACAGCAATGTCCCACAAACAGCGAAGAAGTCAATGAATGGTTGAACAGCACTTTAATCCACTGACGTGCTTATACACTGATTCACACCCTTGATTTGCCCCTCTCAGTGCAGAGCAGCGCACTGAATAGAGCTTAGGTCCAACAGAGGAAGCAAGGGAAAGATGAGAATCCTGTTCTCATATACTTTCCAGTGGTCAGTTTAATCCACCATCATGGGGGAGTATTTCATAACCGAGCAAAGGAACATAGAGTGGGGTGAAACCTTAAAGTATGTTCAAAAAATAGGAAAATCTTGAACTGTATTCATTCTATGATGAGTTAAACTATTGTGTTAAACTATTGCTTGAAAAACATTGGTTTCACAACATCTGCTTTGGGGAGAGCTTAGTAGAACTGTTCACTACAAATCCAAACATACATGGCATAAATCGTTAACTGGGCATGCTGCCACTCCTGGTTTAGGGATTGTGGCCATCTGCCTATATGTGTAACTATTACTATGGAGGTGCTTCCAGCTCAGTGATTTCTCTTTAGAGCTGTAAAAGAGATAAACATTGTCAGCACAAGGCGTCTTGGAGTTCTGAAATATTGCATTTGATTCCTCCCTATTATCATTCGTTCAGGCCTCAGTAAAGCAAGACTTTTGCTTGGATGACAGCCATCAGATGAAAACTGCAGTTCGATGGCAGCCCTTTTCAGTTTGTCTCATCCATAAGAAAGACTTGGCAGAAAAGTCAAAGCAGTTCTGTAATCCATCATGTCCCATCCCTCCTTGTAATTAGGACATGGTGCTGGAAAGCTGCCTTGCCTTTTCTGAATCTCGCTGAAGTTCTGCCATCTGTCAGCAAAATGATTCTCCAAAGTTTGTGTTTCAAATGGAAAACAGTTTTTTTTAAACAAACAATCTATTCAGATGTTCTTTCAAAGCTGTATTTGATTGAATGTAAAATTAATATGCTCTATCTCAAAGATCACTAGATTTTAATACTAATCTGACGTCACCCTTTGCCTCAAGCGTCACTGTAATTAAAGATGCTATCTTTCTTGTGCAAGGCCTTTTCATATTAAAACATTATCCACTATAATACTGAGAAAAACGATCACTTTCTTCAGGTCTTAATTCAAAGGTTGCTGAGCTCTACTTGTTGACGTTAGCACTGGTGTGATCTTATGCTAATATAGAGACTACATTCTTAACCCCCCCCCCCACCCCCACACACACACACAAACACACACCCATCACACTGCATTTACAGACATTTCAGAGATTATGATTTTCTGAATATTATTTCTGCAGTGGAGCTCAACGCTTAAGAGTCCTATGGCCTCACAGATATATGCATTCCAAATATTTAAGAACTCTTCAGTTACAAAAAATAATCAGCGGTCCAAAGCAACCAGAAACGAAAAGCTATAAGTGCATGAGGCTCCATTCTTTAAATTAAGTGCAAGAATCAACTATACTGTTTACAGTAACAATATCAAGTCACTCATTTACATTGTGGTGTGAAAACATAGTTGCCTTTAGTGCCTGT